TAAGAAACTTCATAGCAAGGTCTCTTTAGGTTTCTCAAAGGCCAAGTCCAGTGAGGCTTCCAGAGGGGAAGAGAGTCAGGTATTCCACAGGAATGGAGAGCAGAATGGAAAATAGCATTTAGGAAGGAATGTTGATGGTCTACTTTCTCATGGACCCTAAGTCTTTTTTTTTTTCCACTACTGGGGATTGATGCTAGGCAAGTGATGTACCAGAGCTACATCTCCACTGCCCCCTTTGATTTTCAGACAGGGTCTTGCTAAGTTGCTGAGGCTGGACTCAAACTTGTGATGTTTCTGCCTCAGGAGTCTCAGACCAGCAAAAAAGATCTGAGAGAAAAATAGGTCTCAAGCATGGAAGTAAAGATAAAAGTAAAGCTGTAGGCCCTGTTATGGTTTGGATATGAAGTGACCCCAAAAGCTCCCATGCGAGACAATGAGAGAGTTCATAGGGGAAATGATTTGGGTTATGAGAGCCTTAACCCAAGCAGTGAATTGATCCCCTGATGAGATTAATTGAGTAGAAATTGGAGGAAGGTGGAGTGTGGCTGGAGGAGGTGGGACATTGGGGGCCTGGCTCTGGGTATATATTTGTATTTGGCAAGTGGAGACTCTTTTTTTCTCTCTCTGCTTCCTGATCATCATGTAAGCTGCTTGCCTTTGCCACACTCTTCTGCCATGATGTTCAGCCTTATCTTGAGCCACAAGGAATGGAGCCTGCTCTCTATGGACTGAGACCTCTGAAACCATGAGACACCAAATAAACTTTTCTTCCTCTAAAATTGTTCTGGTCAGGTCTTTTAGTCACAGCAGCCCCTTGCTTTTAAGCTATCTTGGCTTGTCTTGAGCCACTTGTTTCAAGTAGCAAAGTCTGGTAGTCAGGGAGTACACAGGGATACCACCAAGTGCATTTTGGGGCAATCTGCTGCAAGGAGCAGAGCCAGAAGTTGAGAGTAGGTGGCAAAAACCTGACTGATCTATCCTTGGCCTGGAAATGAGACACAAATAAACTTCACAATGTCCACCTGCCCTATTGCTGCTAATTCTATCCCTTCCTTCTCTTATTTAAAGATACTATAGGATATCCTAGATGCCCCTGGTAACATGTTATCAGGTGATGGGGGGATGAGGTACTCTGACGTCCCTAAAGAGAATTCTGAAGACACATGCTGTCCTCAAACCTCTTTGGTCATGTTATGCACAGGTTTCAAAAGGCTTTCTCATGGGCAATTAAAATGGATGTTCTGTAAAGACAAAGAGAAGGTGTTTGAGGCTCCAGGAAGACAATCAACAGAAGCTTTTAATGACTGGAGGAATAGATGAAAGCCACAGTCGGAGGCTGACTCCATTTCCTGACCTGATGTAATGGCTATTTTTCCACACAGAACATCTAGTGTCCCATTATTCTCTGGTGAAACCACACCTCCACATAAGAAGCAGTGGTTTGAGTGGTGGGTGCTAGGTCAGAAGTACAAAACTTATCTTCTCTCAGTCTCAATTTTAAAAAGCTTTTTTTTTTTTCTATTGGGGAGGAGCCAACCTCACTGGTTGAGGCCGGGAGATTGAAAGTTTGAGGCCAACATGGACAAGTTAAAAAGACCCTGTCTCAATAAAATGTGTGTATAATTATGTAACAATCAATCCCACTATTATGTGTAATTATAATGCACTAATAAAAATTTAAAAAGTAAAAAGGGTTGGGGATGTAGCTCACAGGTAGAACTCCTTGCCCCCCTCCTCCTGTCCTGGGTCAAAGCCCAGTACCAGGAAAAAAAAATCAGGGCAATAGGAGAGACAAATATTTCTTTTTTGGCATTTCAGGCTTTTATAATTCTAATAACTCTCAGGTCTAACATGCTATTAATAGACAAATTAACATTTGTAGCAGAAAACACTTGGTATCCTAATCTGGGAAGAAGACTTAAATTTAGCAGTCCCCTTTTGAGATGAAACAGATCTTCCATAGAAGCATCAGTTTTGGGAGTTGTTAAGTTTAGCCTTGGTCCAGGAAATCTCCTATTCTCTGGTTCTGGAGATGGGGGAGGTAAAGGGGGTGTGAAACAGAACCTAGTGGTGCCTTCTGCTCAGAGGCAATCATATGTCATCCAGGTAATTTCCTGTGAACTGTACTTGCCTGCATCAGAGTTCAGCTTTGGTGCTGTCACCTCCTCATGCCCCACAGTCTGCTCCTGCCACTGTTTTGCAGTCAGGAACCCATCACTGCTGGGCATGGCTCGGGAGACAGAGGCAGTAGAATTTAGAGTTCAAAGCCAGCCTCAGCAACTAAGTAAGGTCCTAAGCAACTGTCTCTAAAGACCTGTCTCAAAAATATAAAAAAAAGGCTGGGAATATGGCTCAGTAGCTAAGCCTCTCTGGGTTCAATCCCAGGTACTCCCCCCCCCCAAAAAAAAAAAAAAACTCACTATGCAACACACTTTGGTTTCTCCCACTGTAGAAAATGGATGATTATGGCACTTTGTTGAGTGTCACAGGGAACTGAATACTGGCCTTCCCCCAGGCATAAGGATCAATGTTGGAGGTCCTTGAGGGCTTTTTTGCAGCACTGGAGTTTGAACCCAGGGACACTCTTACCACTGAGGTACATTCCTAGCACTTTATTGAGAAAGAGTCTCACTCAATTGCAGAGGCTGACCTTGAACTTGTGACCCTTTCTCAACTGGAAGTAGCTGGGATTACAAACCTGTGAAAACACACTACTCTGCCGAGGGCTTTATTTCTGGGGGGAGAGGGGTACCAGGGATCAAATCCAGGGGCACTTAACCATTGAGCAACAACCCCAGACTTTTTGAGTCAGGATCTCTCTAAATTGCTTAGGGCCTTCTAAATTGCTGAAACTGGCTTTGAACTCACGATCCTCCAGCTCCAGCCTCCGGAGCTGCTGGGATTATAGGCATGCACCAATGTGCCCACCTAGGGCTTTTTTTGTTTTGGTGGTGGTGGTGCTGGGGATTGAACCCAGGGCCAGAGCCTTGTGCATGTGAGGCAAGCACTCTACCAACTGAGCTATATCCCCAGCCCTAGGGCCTTTCTTAAATGACTTCAAAATCTCAACACAGGAAATGAATTAATCAAAGGGGTTCACAGAAGTCTTATATCAAAAGTTACCCCTTATCTGCAGTTCTACTTTTCATGGCTTGCTGCTCAGTCAACTGCAGGCTAAAAATATTAAATGGAAAATTGCAGAAATAAAACAATTCATAAATTGTATGTATGCTATTCTGAATAGCATGATGAAATCTCATGTTGTTTCACTCTGTCCTGTGTGGGACATAAATCACTTTGTTCAGCATATCCATCCTGTATATGCTGCCAGCCTGTTTGTTAGTCATTTTGGTCATCAAATCGGTATCCAGTATCACACAGTACTTGTGTTCAAGTTTTACTTAATGGCCCCAAAGGCCAGACATGGTGGCACACACATGTAATCTTGGTGACACAGGATCACATGTTCAAGGTCAACCTCAGTAACTTGATGAGACCGTCTCCAAAAAAAAAAAGGGGAGAGGGCTGGGATGAAAGCACCCCTGGGTTCAAGCCCCAATATCACAAAATAGGGGTGTTGGTTATTTGTCCTTAGGGCCCTTCTTTCAGGCCCTCTGTTGAGTACAAGGGTTCCATCTGTGTAAGGCTGGCCCTGCCCACCAATGTGGAAAAAGAACATTAATCAGCAGAGCCTCCAAACTGATTTTTTTTTTTTTAGGGGCAGGGGATACCAGGGATTGAACTCAAGGGCACTTGACCACAGAGCCACATCCCCAGCCCTATTTTTTGTATTTTATTTAGTGACAGGGTCTCTAAATAAAAAAAAAAAATTATATATTATATATATATATATATATACACACACACACACACACACATATCTGCAAAGCAAAACAGTAGTGATGCTGGCAATTTTATTACAGAATATTTATAATTTTCTATTTATTACCAGTTGATGTTCTTACAATTCCTAATTTGTAGATGAAACTTTATCACAGGTATGCATGCATAGGAAAAAACTGTGTGTGTGTGTGTGTGTGTGTGTGTATATATATATATATATATATATATATATATATATATATATATATATATATATATATATATATATATATATATATATAAATTTATTTCAGTACTAGGCATGGTTTTAGGTACCCTCGGGGAGTGGGGGTGGGGAGGTTGGATCATTATCTGTGGAGAGGTAGGGAACTACTATATTCTAAGATGGTAAACCCAGACCAATTCATCCAATACTTCAAGAAATAACATCACCAGCAATTGAAGCCATCAATGCTTCATCTCAGCTTCTTCCAGAGCAAACATTTGAGATTGAAGTGGGCAAGGGAATCATAGTCCCTTCAGTCCCTCAAATTGTAGAAAGAGAAGCTAGTTGTAATGTAGATATTCAACAAAAGGATAAACATAATAAATAAAAGCAGGCCCAAGCTTCAAAAATCAAGGCTTCCACCAAGCTCCAGAATCATAGTGCTTCACAAAGGAAAAGAGCACCCTTAATTGATGATACACAAGGAAATGAACTTAAAATTCTGGAATGCATAATGCATTCTTAAATTTTGCACACTTACCTTCTCAAAACAGTTTTTATTTAAAAGGGCTGAAATTAAATGCCAAACATCTGTCACCACTGATGAATAGAGGGAAATTACCACATTTGGCAAAATTGGTTCAAAATGAATAAATCATAAAACACTCCTCCTATAAGCAAATACCTAATTTGGGTCCCCAGAATAAGAACCAGAGATCCAGCAGTGTAATTCAGGTTCACTACACAAAATTAGACTCTAGTTCTCAGTAAGCTCTGAATATCTTAAAAAGTCTTACAGTTGAATAAAGCTGTTGCCTTGTTTTCTCTTGGCTTAAAACAAGGTAGCAAAAATAGTTGGGAAACAAAGAAACAGGAGCTATCACTGGATGCAAGACATCTAAATCAAACCATCAGCAGAGAATCATGACGGAAGATAAAGACCCCAAAAAAATCACACACATAGACACTTTATTAGTTTCTTCTACAAGAGACAATTAATATCAAACTTTTAACAGAAATGTCAGGTCATTGGAGAGGCCAAACAGATTCCAGGAAGAAAGATGAAAATTAAATACTTAAATTAAAAGGCACTAGTATACCACCTAAAACCCACAACCACGGTGGAAGTAGGCTAAGGAAGGTTAAGCTACAGCAAAATATCTAATGTGAATGTTAGCAATTACACAGCAAGAAGCAAGTCTGTGTTCTAGAAGACTATGATACAATGATTGTTTGGGCCCAAGAGGATATCTGGCCAGGAAAAGGTCAAAATGGCTGAAGTTGTAAAGCCATAGAAAGGAATAGGTACAAAGGGAATACAAGCTACATGGTCAAGCAGATGACAATGAATCAGGCTTCTTCCTCCCAAGAAACATTTGCTGCACTGTGCTACCCCCTCCCCTCTCAGGATCCCACCCAACAGTTTTTTCAGGCTGAGTTGCCTGCTCCTGCCTTAACAGGGTGCTTGCTCAGGAGAATAGGTTTGAGGGCTCTTGTTCTTGATTTAGCACAGATCTTGGAGAAACTTGTCACACATGGGCTGCTTTGTGGCTAGTTGTTCTGACAAAGAAAAATCCCCAAAGTATTCACATGCAAAGTCTGAGCTTCCCCAACCATCTAAACAGCCTTATTCAACACCCTCAAAGTCTGAGATCTTGAAGCAGCTGAACTCTAGTTAAAGCTGCAAGGTTCACAAAATCATTAAGGAAGACAATGCAGTTAAGAAATCCCAGCAGTTAATCTCAATCTGTCTTCCCCCAATTTACAATAAACCCTCATTTACATGATGTGGGATGTAGAAAGCTATACTGGAGCAAGCTGGGTCTTCTGCTGAATTTGTCATCAAATACTAAGGGAAACAAGGAGTAGGGCTGATTTTATTTTTAAAAAAGCCTCAAGTTATTCTATTATAAAGGAACATGACTGAATAGGTAGGAAACAGATTCCCCATTATGAGTTCTCCTGATGGCTTCTGCAAGGATCATAGAGATGTCAATCACCTAGAAAGGCAAGAAAGGCACCAGGTTAGTAGACATGGACAGAGCTGATTGGCCAGTTTGAAGCCTCCACTGTTGAGTAATCTAGTGAGCACCCCTCCTCATAAGCCCATACTCAGCTACTATTCAGAACAATATTTTTACTATACCCATTTAGGAAACAGTCAAATGTTAGTAATGGAGGAAAAACTCTCACTGGGGCTCAAAATGATGGTGGGATGCCATTTTGAAATCCAAAATGGTGAACTACAGACCAGTGCCAGTCTTAATTTAGTCCAAATCCCTAAAAAGATGTACAAAAATGAGTACAAGTTTGAAAAAATTTGACAGTAATTTGATAGAACAATTTTATGTCTTTTACATCTAGTAATAAAACATGTGGTCTTGCAAAAACAAAACACAATAGTTAAGAGTAAGATAAATAGGGTTTGTGTAAAGCATGAACTTGTACACTTTCATGTGCATCAAAACCACTGGGAGTGCTGAGTGTGGCAGTCCATGCCTGTAATCCCCAGCAACTCTGGTGGCTAAGGCAGGATGATCACAAATTTGAGGCCAGCCTTAGCAAGACCCTGTGTCAAAATAAAAAATAAAAGGGCTGAAGATGTTGCTCAGTGGTTAAGTACCCCTGGTTTAATCTCCAGTACCAAAAATAAAAAAAAAATCACTGGGAGTGCCAGGTACAGTGGCACACACCTATAATCCCAGAAACTCAGGAGGCTGAGGTAGGAGGATCACAAGTTCCAGGCTAGCTTCAGCAACTCAGTGACACCTTGTTTCAAAAATAAAAGGGCCAAGGGCTTACATTAGTTCACTGGTAGAGTATACCTAGGTTCAATCCACAGTACTAAAAAAAAGAAAAAAAAATCACTGGAATAGCCTGTTAAAATGTAGAATCCTAGGCTCTATCCTCTAGGTTCTGAGGTCTAGCAATTTGAATTTGAAACGGGTGTTTTTTGATCACAGATCCTGATAATGGACAAACTTCAAGATCAAAGGAGATCTTCCGAATCCAGAGACCTAATTTAACATATATAACCACCCCTAAACACTCAGATGAAATCTTGTTTTGCAAGAATCTTATTCTCACCTGTATTTTAGAGCAATGCTTCATCTTGTCCTCCTGAGGTATGGTATTGGTGACCACTACTGCTTCAAAACATGCATTATTGATTCGAGAAATGGCTGGGCCAGAAAAGATTCCATGAGTCAAGATAGCATAAACTCTGGTCGCTCCAGCTGAGAGAAGTCTAGTGGAAAAAAAGAGAGATGACTTGGATTAATCTTATTCACTATTATAGAATCTGAGTTAGGGAGAAAAGGTGTATTAGTCTACCATAGCAAAACTTCATAGACTGGGTGGCTTAAGCAGAAACGTAATTCTTATAGTTCTAGAGGCTGGCAAATGCAAGACCAAGGTACAGATAGGGTACGTTTCGTTCTAAAATCTCTTCTCTTGTAAGAGGCTGCCACCCTGCTGTGTGTACACAGGATCTCTTCTGAGCGCATGCACAGAGTGCCAGAAAGCTTTCCAGTGTTCTCTTCTTGTAAGAACACTAATACCATCATGAGGGCTCTGCACTTGAGACCTCAGCTAAACCTGAAATACCACCCAAAAGTAATCTTCAAATACCATCACATTTGGGGTTATGGTTTAACATGTGAATTTTAGGAGGACACAATTCTGTCCATATCAAGAAGAGAAATCTGCACTAAGTCACTTCTTGGCTGGACTTAATAAATCACTCAAGGGTAATCCCCTGTGCTCCTTTTCTTTTCTAGCTAGCCAAAATGGAAATATTTCCCAGCAAAATCTTGGAAGCCACATGTTAAAAGAAATAGTCACAAGTTTGAAAGAGTCTGGGTCCCAGAAAATGAGTCCAATCAGGAATACTTGTATTGGAGAGTGCCACAGACAAGAAAGAAACTACCATATTAAGCCATTGACATTTCAGGGAGTTGATCTGTTACACAAATTAGTATCTTATAAATACAAGGATAAAGTGGGTTTTATAAATGTAAACTCAAGGAGCCAAGCCAGGAATCTTTTTCATACCTATTATGTGCCAGGTACAGACATTTAGGAATTTAAAAAACCATTCTAAGAAGTAAAATAGCCAGGCACAGTGGCACATACCTGTAATCCCTGCTACTTGGAAGGCTGAGGCAGGAGGTTTGCAAGTTCAAAGCCAACCTTAGCAACTTAGGGAGGCCTTAAACAACTTTGTGAGACCCTGTCTCAAATAAAACATACAAAGGGCTGAGGATGTGGCTCAGTGGTAAAGTATCCCTGGGTTCAATCCCTAGTACCAAATAAGAAACAATGCTGTTCATAGTGGTTTGGATTGTAAACAGTGGAAAGCCACTTATGATTCTGCAGGAGAGAAGCGATTGACCCTGGCCATAGTTTTAGAAAGATTATCAAGTGTAGAGGTACTGTATAAAACAGACAGGGGAAGTGAGAAATTAGTGACTGGCAGCCGGGTACAGTAGTGCACACCTGTTAATTCCAGTGAATCAGGAGGCTGAGGAAGGAGGATCAAGTTCAAAGCCAGCCTTGGCAACTAAGCAAGACCTCGCCTTAAAAAAACAAAAAAACAAACAACAACAACCAAAAAACCCCCAAAAAAACCCACCATAAAAAGGGCTAGGGATGTAGCTCAGTATTAATGCACCCCTGGGTTCAATCCCTAGCACCAAAAGTAGAGTACTCAGGGAAATGAAAAGCACATTGGAAACAAATAGCTATAATGGCTGTACAACATTGTGACTATAATTAATGCAACTGAATTGTAGACTTAAAAACACCAGATGAAACTGTGTACTGTTATACAGACAATGCTACAACTAAGAAAATTTGGAAAAAAAGAGTACTCAATTTTTATTATAATTCAAGCCTAGGCTTATGAAAACCTTCCAAAGCTACTTATCTTTTTTGATTCAGTTCCAAAAAGTATTGGCAGGCTGAAGGCATTCAGATATCAGTTATTAGCTTTTTATTTTATTTTTTACATTTTTGGTACTGGGGATTAAAAACCCAGGGATGCCTTTCCACTGAGCTACATCCCCATCCCTTTTTATTTTTTGGTTTGAGATAGGGTCTCACTAAGTGGCCAAGGCTGGCTTTGAGTTCACAATTCTCCTGCCTCAGCCTTCTGAGTTGCTGGGATTACAGAAGTACACCACCATGCCCAGCTTAGCTTTTTTACTTCTAACCACCAGCTTCCCAACTCTGTACTCACTTGTCAGCGGCATGACAAATTGTGCCACATGTGTCAGCCATGTCATCCACAAGGATAGCGACTCGATCCTTCACATCTCCCACTAGCACCATGCGGTCCACTTCATTGGCCTTCTTCCGTTCTTTGTGAATCAAGGCAAAGTCCACGTTCAACCGGTCTGCAATGGAGGTCACTCTGCAAAATAAGAGATATTCAATGTTAAACACAAGTGTATAAGATTTCTAAGACAAAAAAAAGAGAAAAAGAAAAAGAAATAGACTAAAGAATGAGCTGGAAGGACTGGAGGTATGGCTCAGTGGTAGGGCACTTGTCTAGACCAAGAGAAACCCTGGATTCAATCCCCATCACCACACATACAAAAAGAGAATGGGCTGATTTTCTAGGGGAGAATAATCACTGAAACTAAACAGTTTCTAGGGCTAAAAGAAAACAACTATCATTGATGACCTCTCAACACAAACTGGGTTGTATGGACTAATGCCTTTATCCCAATGGCAATTTAGGAATGTTACTCACACTTTGGTAACCATTCATTCTGGGTAAGGGAGAGACCTGGGAAGTAGTATAATGCTAAGGCACACTTAGTTAATGGATTTGTAACAAAGGGATGAGAGAAGACTTTATTAACCAATGCAGGAGTGTACAGATTGTCCCCATTTCCATTATAGAACACCAGTGCCTGTGGATATGAGATGTGAACCTGAAGCTGGCAGGAAAGGAGCAGTGCCCAGCCTGTTCCAATGCCTGTGCCCTCGTGGCCCCCTTTGTGATGGTGGCAAAACATCCACCAATTGTCAGTGTCAACTGTACCTGGACACCAAGCTTGGGAACTTCTTTTATGAATGCTAGAAAAAAAGTTATATCAATTAACCATACAAACTGGGTGTTTCACTGTACAGGCTAAACTATCTCTAAATAAAAATACAATTATTATTTTTTTCCTTATTACAATATAACACAAACCACAGCAAGAAAGTGGGGTATTAGATAAGTCTGACTGGTAACCATATAGTTCCTAAGTCACTCAAATACAAAGCCATTTGGTGTAAATAATATTGGGCTGCCCTGGTGACATGTACATTCATGCTACACTGTCATCTTTTCATACACAAAGCAAAGGCCTGTGCTTTGGGTTATTTTATTCTTTTCAGTGTAGCACTGATTAACCTATAATATTATATCCTATTTCCTTGTGACTATGGTTACATATCTAGATTTCTACTGGAAAAGGGGGAACCTGTGACCGTATAATAAGATTTGAAGCATAACTCTAGGCAACATTTGTACCTTGACCTAAACAAGCCACACCCTGAGTTGTCCATTACTACTGCTTAGGCACATAACATTGGTGGTAACCAATTTACTCGGAATGATTGATTATCTGAAGCAAATGCATAATCAATTACTTTAAGTGTCCCAAACCATCTATACTCATTGGCCAACATATTCATTAATCAACAAAGGAAAAAAGAGTTAGAAAATGTATCCTACATCTCTCATCCCTGAGAGAAGAACTCCTGTGCAGATAACAATTGCACAGTACATAGGGAGTAGACCCTATCTACTTCCCAAACCCTGTCAAAGCAAAAGGGCTAGCCCCGTCGAAAACATTCCATTATTACAATGTGATTATGATGAAAATAATCACCAAGAGCAACAAATTATCTGCTTAAGGCAGTTTCTTGTACCCAACTTTGACAAGAAAATCCTGCTTAACTCTTTAAAATGTGATTATTTTCTAAGTCCCTTGGCAAGATGTGACCATAGTGCCTATGACAACTGCCAGTTGGGGGATTTTAATACACTCTCTCCAGTATAGCAGAGGGTAATTAATGACTGAATGGAGCTTATCAAGTCACACACCAGATGGATAACAGAACTTAAGTTCTCAGCTTATCAGTTCCACTGAAGTAACAAAATAAAGAAGCTGCTGAAAAATAGTCATTGAAGATTTTTCACCAGGGATTGAACCCAGAGGTGCTTAACCACTGAGAAACATCTGTAGCACTTTTTTACTTTTTTATTTTGAGACAGGGTCTCACTATATTTAGGGCCTAACTAAGTTGTTGAGGCTGGTCTCAAATTTGAGATTCTCCTGCCTAGGCCACCTGAGCTGTTGGGATTAAAGGTGTGTATCACCATGCCTGATGTCACTAAAGATCTGAATGGCTTTTAAAAAGTTCTGAATTAGCTTTTCCTAATCATCTGTGTTTTGGAGCTCTTCATTCTATTTCTCCATCAAGAAGAACATGTGCCATAATTCTGAATGCATTACTATAAGTAATCCACTAAGAAAAGCAAGAGCTCTTAGTCTGCACCATGTGAGCTGTAAAGCACCATAAATGGAAATCCCTGGCAATGAGTTTAAAATTCTAAAGTCCTGGCTTTAAATAAAAATGTCATATTTTATTTTCCTCCCTGCTTAATATTTTAATCCCAAGGATCAAAACGGTCTAACCAACAGCATTATTAGAAGGGTGTAAAAGCTCACTTATCCATTAATATGGAGTTCAATAGCAGCTGCCAATCAACAGAAAACTAAATTTCCTACCCTTTCAGATAGGTTTTTTGCAGTGTTGTTAGCCATGCAGTGCCAAGTTATTAATGTTATAGTCAAGTCCGCAATATGGTAACTATTTAGGTCTCCTTTTCTGACTTGTCTTCTAAGTAGTAATTTGGGTCAATAAAAGGATAGTAAAACTATATCTAACATTAGATATTACTTAAAACTGCCATTTAGATTTTCCCAGTACATGGGGAAGAATACTAATTTCAACCATACCTCTTGGCTCCACCAGCATCAGGTGACACAATAGTGCAGTTCCTCCACTCAGAGATATTCTCCCTAATCCACTTCAGGACAGCTGGCTCTGCATACAAATTGTCCACTGGGATATCAAAAAAGCCCTGGAGAAAGAAGGCAGGTCAGTTTTGCTTCGTTTTCCTTCTCTTCCATTTGCAAATGGATAACAAAAAGAAAATAATAACTTGCATAGAGAGAATGCCTTATTGCAACACTCAAACATAGAAAGGCATTCTCAGTGTGGTAGATTATAAAAATTGCCTCCTCAAATCTTGGCTGAGAGAGTCCCACCAAGATCAGCCAATCCAACCCTCAGCCAACCCACAACTGAATGCAAGAACTACAAATGAACCCTTGTGAAGAACAGCCAAGTTTAGCCAAGACCATAAGAACTGTTCAGCCATGGTGTGTACTCATTAGTTTAATATGTACTATTTCATGGCACTTGGTAAACTACTTAGAGAAGTTGTGATACATAAATTTAGTGGGAACTATAATAAATGATCCTACAGGATAACTAGAAATCAGAAGATGTATGTTGATTCTAGTTGATAAAAATTAGTTGTATTTCTCAATTAAATTGTTCCTTTTCTGTAACATGGGTACCTATGAATCTCAGCTGGTTGCCATGGGATAATGACAATGATTTGGAAGTCTCTTTAAATAGTATAAAATAAATATAGTAATCTACTTCCTTCATTCTGAGTTTCTATGAAAAGTTAGGTTCCAATATCTGTGGCTCTAAATTTAAGACTGAATCCTCAGGGAGAATAACAACAGCTTCCATTTATTGAGCACCAGTCATGGGCCAGGCATTATATTATGAAATTAATATTTTATAATAATGAAAAAGTATGTTCAGAAGTAAACTGCCCAGGGTACAGAGCTAGTGATTATAAGTGCCAGTATTCAAAGTAGGTCTGATCCTAAAGTGTAGGCTATACCTATAATATCAGACTGCCTCCCTGTCTATCCACTTCAAATGGCAAAGATGGTAAAGATGATGTGCTTACAGTGAATGCATTTAAAATGTTTTCAGCATCTAGTTTACTTGAGCTATACTTGGGAAGTTTTTGGCTCTCTGCAGTGTTGAGCATTATCAGTCCACTCCTTCTACTTAGAAAGGCAAGATAATTATCCCTGATAATTATTTTCCACTGATACCTGAATTTGAGAAGCATGTAGATCCATGGTGATAATATGATCTGCACCAGCTACAGACAGCATATTTGCAACAAGCTTAGCCGAGATTGGTGCCCGGCTCTAAAAGGAGGGGAATAAAGAAAAAGAAAAACCAAAAAAGCCAATTTGAAATACAATTCATTTCAAGAAACATTTATTTATTGTGTATCTACTTTGTTTAAGTCACTGTGCTACCAGGAATTTGCTACCATTGACTTTGAGTGTATCATAGTCAAGAACATGTGCTAAGTGAAACATCACTTCCCAACTGAGGATATACATTTCAGTAAATAAAATATCTTCCTTGCTTCCAGGATTATCATTTCACTGGTTATACATATTTTCAGCCTATTCAAAAGCTTCTACTGTTCAATTTTCAAACTCAGCAAACTCAAAACATCTTTTAAAAAACAACTTTACTAAAATCTTTTTAAATACTGGGGCTGGGGTTATGGCTCAGCAGTGGAGTGTTTGACTAGTATTTGTGAGGCTCTGGATTCAATCCTCAGCACCACATAAAAATAAATAAAATAAAGGTATTGTGTCCAACTACAACTAAAAATAAATATATTTTTTAAAAATCTTCTTACATACATACCCATGCCTGTGTAAACCTAAAATATCAAAATTCAAAGATATATAACAGAATGGAAATTGTTTCCTTTGTAAATTACATCATCACTTTATTCATCTGGGGATCAGTTTTCCAGCAACCTCAACTCCATTAAGTAAAAGGTATACCTGCTACACCCTAAAGCACCTGCCCTTTACTCTACACTCTGCTGTAATAAAAATATCTGGCCTTTCTCCCAAGTTCTGTGTGTTAATGCTGGGCATTAATTACAACATCCTTGCAAAATTTTATGTGTATACCTCATCCTCTAATAATATCAAATAAGAGAGCTATATGAGACCAAGTATTCATATAAATAGGCTTCATATTTTATGAAGATGTAACAACCAAGACCCTGACTATATGACAGTTAAGAGAAATCTACTATAGTTTTTTCGAAACAGGCTCTCACTATGTTGTCCAGGCTGCCCTTGAACTCCTGGGCTCAAAGAATCTTCCTGCTTCAGCTTCCTGAGTAGCTGGGACACAAATACACACCATATATAGTTTAAAAATTATTCCACTCCAGCTGGGTACAGTGGTGCACACCTGTAATCCCAGGGACCTGGGAGGCTGAGACAAGGGGAATCACAAGTTACAGGGCAACCTCAGCAATGTAGTGAGGACTTAAGCAACTTACTGAGATCCTGTCTCAAAATTTAAAAAAAAAAATTAAAAACCTGGGCTGGGGATGTGGCTCACTGGTAAAGTGCCCTTAGATTAAAGTCCGAGTATGTATGTATTTGTGTGTGTGTATATTCTATTCCACAGGATTGGTAATTAGTCTGATTAATAGAATTAAAAATACAGCAAGCTAATGGAAAAGTTACATATGCATAATTTGAATGAAATACAGAATACAAATGTGTTGGTTTACACAAAACCACTATATACCTATTGTGAAGACAGGGCAATACCTAAGGAAATGTGACTTTAAAATACCTCGAAATATATATATCTGATAGTTAAGGAATTTTTTTTAAATTTTAGGCTATACTCCTGCTTCCCCTGCTTTAAAAAAATGACTCTGGGTTGGGGGTGTGGCTTAATAGTAGCGTGTATACCTAGCATGTACAAAGGCTCTGGTTCTATCCATAGCACCACACACACAAATAGATTCTGAACATACCTTATCCTTCTTATCCTGCCGGGCATAAGGGAAACATGGGATGACTGCAGTAACCCGGCTGGCTGAAGCAATCTTGCAGGCATTAATCATGATCAAAAGCTCCATTAGATTGTCGTTGATTTCACCACAACCACTTTGAACGATGTAGACATCTTCTCCACGTACACTTTCACCAATTTCCACACTAAATTAGAGAAAGATAGGCAAGATAAAACAATAGATTTTTAGTTGGGCATGGTGGTGCATGCCCATAATCTCAGTGACTTGGGAGGCTGAAGAGGATGGTAAGTTCAAGGCTAGCCTCAGCAGCTTAAGGAGAGCCTGTCTCAAAATGAAAAATAAAAAGGGCTGAGGATGTAGCTTAATGGGAGAGTGACCCTGGGTTCTATCACCAGTACCCCTCCCCAAGACTTTTAAGCACGATACTGTATTTGGATAGATAGTAAGGTCTTAAAAAAAAAACAAAAAACAGCTTCCCTGATAGCATGCTATCAGTGGTTAAAGCCATGTGGATATTGATCCCCTCAGACTCTGGAAGATCCCAAGAAGGAGCTCTTACACTAGAACTGCCATGTACTACACAAATATTACAAGTTTGTATGTGTGACATAGCATGAAAAACACTAGCTAACTTTATAGTATTCACAAATAATTGGAAAAGTAATTTCAGGAGGTGGTCATGCAATGTAAAGACAGATTTGACATAGAACCCGTGACTGTTATATAATCCATACAAAATGAAAGTAGAAATATCATAAGGGATGAATCACCACTGTTCTTTCTATAATGATGCTTTCTAGTGAAGACAGTACTGCCTCTACCATATTGGCAATTTGCTCAATAAATATTAAATGCTCATATGCTGGTCACTGTGCTAGGAGCTAGGGATACAAAGATGAATAAAGCAGATGTGGTCCTTGATCTCATTCTGTAACAACTGTATTTTTGTCCAATCAGTAAGTCTTATTTAATAACAATGCCATAGGAAGTAAGTCTAATAGTGGAGTACAACTATATTTTATCATAACAAAAATTAATACCCATACTTGGGTCCCTGCCAAGAAAAAAAAATTATGATCTCAAAGAAAAAAATCTGGAGCTAGGGGCGTAGCTCAATGTTAGAACACTTGGCTAGCACATGCAAAGCCCTGGGTTCCATCCCCAGTGACACACACACCACCTCAATCAATCCTCAAGGTAAGGTAGGGATATGTGTATATGTATAAAGAAGGGATAGATCAGAATTGTTAAAAACCCCTACTGAACAATAGAACTTCAGTTCACTCCAGGTGTGGTGGCACATGCCTTTAATTCCAGCAGCTCAGGAGGCTGAGGCAGTAAGATCACAAGTTCAAAGCTAGCCTCAGCAAAAGTGAATGCTAAAGCAACTCAGTGACACCCTGTCTCTAAATAAAAGACAAAATAAAGCTGGGGATGTGGCTCAGTGGTCGAATGCTCCTGAGTTCAATCCTGTTCAAATTAAAAGGCAATGTAGTTATTATTAAATACAACATGCATACTTTTATATTTTTATGGCACTCTCACCACTATCTTTTGTGTGGTTTCAGAAACTGACCACTATTATTATGCCCATCAGGATGATGTTTATCTCATGTTTACTCCCCAAATAAAACTTTAAAGGGCATCCCGAAAGAAACCTCTATCAAAATAAACAGAGGTGCTGGGTTCAGGGGTGAACACCTGTAATCCCAGCTACTGTGAAGGCTGAGGCAGAAGATTGCAAGTTCAAGACCAGCCTGGACAACTGAGAGAGACCCTGTCTCAAAACAAACAAACAAAAACAAAAACAAGTTTGGGAAAACTGGGTAAAGGGTATACTTTTATCTGTTTTTTTTTTTTTTCTTAGAGGTGAATGTAAGTGTACAATTACCTCAAAATTCAATTATTTTGCAGTGCTAGGGATTGAACCCAGGGCTTCATGTGTGCTAGGCAAGTGCTCTAGGACTGAGCTACACCACCTCCCCTTCTCAAAACTCATTTTTTAAAAAAAGTGATTGTGGGCTGGGGATGTGGCTCGTGCGGTAGAGCGCTCGCCTGGCATGCGTGCAGCCCGGGTTCGCTCCTCAGCACCACATACAAACAAAGATGTTGTGTCCGCCGAAAACTAAAAAATAAATATTAAAATTTTCTCTCTCCCCCCCTCTCTTCTCTCTCTCTTTAAAAAAAAAAAAGTGATTGTACCTTGTGCATAGTTGAGTAAACCATTACTGCAGCCCTCAATGAAAACTGAGGTCACAGAAGTGTAAAAAAACAAACACACTTCTGTGGTTAGCCAAAAGAACCAGGTCCAGTTGTATTATTTTCTGAAAAGCTATAATACTGTGAGAAAACCTGGCGAAATCCAATTTAAACAGTTAATTTGAGAAATAACTCATCTCAAAGTATTTTCTTCCAAGCTTATCAGGGATCAGTCACATTCTCTTCCTTTATATTCCATGAAGACACCCTTTACTACTTCACAGACTGCACTTCTTTCCACTATCTGAATGCTCTTCTCAAAACCACTTCACTCATTTTTCAGGTCTCCAATCAAAATAGCCTACTTGACCTTCTTGTCAAGTATGATATCAATAGAAACAGTAAGATTTTAAATAGTGACTGGAACTGAGTACAGTGAAACACACCTGTAATTGCCACAATGTGGGAGACAGAGGCTGGAGGATGCAAATTCAAAACCACCCTTGGTGACTTAGAACCTGTCTCAAAATAAAACGGGCTGGGGAATAATGTAGCTCAGTAGTAGAGTGTCCCTGGTTCAATCCCCAGTACCAGGGAAAAAAAAAAACATTAAATGTGACTTAACTCAGTGGTAGAACACTTCCCTAGCATGTGTGAGGCACTGGGTTGGTTGATAGCACCGCATATAAACAAATAAAATAAAAGTCCATCAACAACTAATAATAAAATTATCAATCAATTGCAATATATACACCTTATTTGCATGCCAATTCAAACTAAAACAAAAGAACATTTTTATGAGAAAAAAAATTGAACTCTGGCTACTTATTTGACAGTAAGGGATTACTATCAATTTCTTTAGGCATGATAATACTATTTTGTTTACTGAAATATATATGGATGACAATATCTATTTGCTTCAAAAATTCAATCATGAGAGCGTGGTGAGGGAAGACTAATAAGAGGAAGCAAAATTAGCCATAGCTGGGCGCAGTGGTGCATGCCTATAATCCCAGTGGCTTGGGAGGCTGAGGCAGGAGAATCATGAGTTCAAAGCCAGCCTCAGCATCGGTGAGATGCTAAGCAACTCAGTGAGACCCTAAAATACAAAATAGGGCTGGGGATGTGGCTCAGTGGTTGAGTGCCACTGAGCTCAATCCCCAGTACCAAAAAAAAAAAAAAAAAAAAAACAGCCATAAATTGATAACTATTGAAATGGGTGAAGGAGTGCGTAGGGTCATTATACCATTTTCTCTTCTTTATGTTTGAAATGTTCCATAATAAAGTTAAGAAAATAACTGGGGAGGATTACTTTATTTATCATTCTAGTTATTCCCTTCAGAATACTCATCACAATTTGTTACATCTTATTATTTGTGGATCTGTTTATCATCTGTCTCCTCCACTAGAATGTAAATTCCATGAAGGTAAGTAACTACTTACCAGTGTCATCAGCCAGTCAGTGCCAGTAGGACATGAAGAATGAATGAAAAGGATGGGAAAGGAGGGGAGGAGTAGGGAGGATAGGAAGGGCAGCAGAATAGAATAGACAATATAATTGATGTATGTACATTCCATGTATGTATTATATGTCAAAATACATTCTGCTGTCATGTATGACTAAAAAAAAATAAAAATGAATCGTATGGTAAAAAAAAATTTTTTTAAAAAAAGAATGAACAAAAACCCTTCAGGATTAGGCTGCCTCTTATTCACTTTTGAATAAAAGTGAAGTGAATGCCTCCATTTACTTTTTTTTTTTAATGACTGGCTTTTTAAAAACTTTATTTATTTATTTATTTTTACGTGGGTGCTGAGGATCGAACCCAGGGCCTTGCACATGCGAGTCGAGCGCTCTACCGCTGAGCCATAACCCCAGCCCCCCTCCATTTACTTTTGAGTTGCTAGGATTACAGGCATATACCACCGTGGCATATGGGATCATGTTTCCTTAAAAGGTTTTGACAAGTCCACCCATGCCCTTCTTCAGATACTCATATTTATATAATTTGGGGGTAGAATTACAATCTGATGGTACCACCAGGATGATATAGTAACAAAGAATTTGATGACGGGTCCTTAACTAGTGATATTAAGACAAACAACAATAGTAATTTTGTGGACCTCCATGTGGCTGACTTGACATAGTAGTGTATTTTTTTTTTAACTTATGGATACTTAATTTGATTCATAACTATTGAAATGGGTGAAGGATATGCGTAGGGTCATTATACCATTTTCTGTTCTTTATGTTTGAAACTTGTATATGAACCTTGTGTGACTTTCAGTAATTAATTAAAAAAAAGGATACATATCCTCTAATATTTTGGCAACATCAACTATGCCAATACCAAAATTGCTTTCTGAAAACATTCTTCAAAATCCAAATAGATCATAAAAAAATAAAAAATGGGGGTGGAGATGTAGCTCAGAGGTAAAGTATCCCTGTGTTCAATCCTCAGGACTAAAAAATAAGTAAAAATAAAACAAAAAGAACTCAAGTGGATATGACTAAATAATACCTCCTGTTCTGTACATTTCTCACTGTGGCAGGTCCAAGTAAGAGGCAGTATTCATGTAAGGGACTTCTCAGATCTTCTTTACTATTAACACATCCCTTTGAGAGCTCTCCAGGCTAAAAGTGGCATTTCTGTTTTATGGTACACAACTGTGGTTTTAACCAAGTGTAACAGGTTAAAACCTGTTACAAAAAATCAAGTGTAACTTGATGTTTTGACTCTTTCCCTTGTGGCCTTGAAACTTACATATTTTTTTCTTTTTCCCAATCTTCTTTTCCCTAAACTTCTCCTCCCTGATATTCTTTTTCCCTAAACTTCTTCATCCTCATCTCTCCTTCCTAAACTCATTTTCTCTGAATCACCTCTTAAAAAAAACCAAAAAACAAAAAACCCTGTTCCTGCTGATGGGCAGAATCACAGCCTCTGGGACAGGAGTTTCCTGTGTTTCTCCTTTGTTAGCAAAGCA